GATCCCCTTTTTGCTCCTGGGTTTTGGGGGGGGATTTCTTTTTGGTTTTTTTTTAAGAAAATCATTTCCGGGGGCGGGGTTTTTGGAGTTTTTTTTCCCCCCCCCCCCCCCCCCCCCCAACCGTTTCAAAAGAAGGACGAGGGTTAACAGACCATTGTGATCGACGAAACGATCGCGCCTGGCGCGGGCCTGGTCGTTTGAAGCAAAAGGCCGACAGCTCGGTTGCTTGCCGAGCGACAGATTGGGTCTGCCTTTAGTCTTATCTCCAAATCCCCTTCAATCTTTTGGAAGGCGAGAGCTCAAGCCTTCCCCCACTTTTTTTTTTTTTTTTTTTTGCCGGAACACGTCTGAGGTGAGCTGGCCCACAACTTCTTCTTCCAACTGTTGTGCTTCCTCCGCTTCATTCCTCCGCCATCCGGTCAACCTGGACTCTTGCTTCCACCATTGATCACGACGCCCACTGGCATGCGTTTGCATGCTCAAAACTTGTGATATCACTCTCTGCTTGCTCTGTATCCCTGTCGTTCCAAGACAAGACCAAACCTCAACTCTGGGCCCGTCTGCCTCGTGCACATGGCGATAGCTCACCTCCACTGTCTTTGCTCTTGCTTCTCTCTCCTCTAATCAAGCTCCACAAGAGTGGCGCAAGACCAAAGTCATGACAGAACGCTGGGTCGTTCCCGCTCCCGTGCACGGGCAGCAAGAACAGTATCAGCAGCAACAACTGCAGCCACCTGCTCAACGTGCAAAACCACCCAAGCTCTCACCGGCCCTCAAGCGTAGTTCACAGGAATACTGCCATGGCTACATTGAATATCAGAGCCTGGCCCGCTTTTGCACAACCCCGAGGACTTCCGAGGATGCGACAGCCGTGCCCCCAACTAGTGCTCTTGATGCACCTTTGCTTGAGCTCCCATCCCCGACCATTGCCACCGCTTCAGCCGGGTCATCCAATGGCGCCGTCGCTGCGGGCTCCAATGTAGCAACAGACGTCCCATTTATTCGACAGGGAGGGCGTTCACGCTCACACCACCACCTGCCCGCCAAACCCGTGGCACCCCAACAACCCCGGCGCCATAGCGCACACGTTGTACGGCGTCATCGCCCTGTTGGATGGAACCAGCGAGCCACTTTGCTTCACCAGCCCCACCACCTCGCAGAAATTGCCGAAGTGGCCGGTCCCATCGAGTCGGAGTTGGAGCACCCAACCTCATTGGAGCTTCAGCTGGCGGCTGCTGCTCAGCTCGGCAATGAGCGCCGTTTACATGCAGCTCAGCTCAAGGTCGAAGCCAGCGCCCGCCAAGGTGCTTCCAAGAACACCGTCCACAGGCAATCTTCTGACCTGGCTGATACTACCACCTCTGCTATTTCACCACCTGGCGGCCATATCCAGTGCTCAATCTCAAAGAAGGCTGACTTCGGGAACAATTCTTTAGTGCCAAGTCACACTCTGACGCAGGAACAGGAAGACGAGAGCAACGAGGCTGAGGATATCGAATCAGATTGTGATACTTCCAGTCACAGGTCGGAAGAGGAAGAGCCGGAGATGGAAGACGATAGCGAGGATTTTGATCAGGAAGACCGGACGGACAATGATGCAAGTAGGGCTTTAACGCGCCGCCGGCAAGCTCGAGAAAAGTTCTACCAGGGTGCCGTTGCGGCAAGCTTGTCACAACTTGAGGCGCAGCTGCGGCAAGCCAGCATCAGCAGTATGGCTGAGGTGGTTGGTCCTGAAGATCTCGACGCTTCAGAATCTTGCTCAACCTCCTCCAGCAGCAGCTTGTCGGAACGTTTGCCTGACGATGCTGCGGGCGAGGAGCATGGTTCAGCAACTCAAGCTCAAAGCCCGAGTGATGCATCTTCGACGAGGTCAACGTTGCCCCTCAACAACACTTTGTCTTCTGCGGCTCGCGTCGTTGACCAGTTGAGGCGCAAAAACTCAAGCGACACAGCCTCGGCCAACACAGCATCGGAGCCTGCTGGGACCGTGGCGTCAGCTGGTAGCAATGCACACGCAAGAACGACTCTGTATCACGGGCGTTTTGCTGTGGTTGGGACCCTGGCGTCCCAACGCAACTCGACGGTGTACTTTGCCGTCGATACGCTCACCGACGATGCTGTTGTGATCAAGGGCGTACTACTGAGTGCTCCAGGCCAGCCTGCTCAGAATGAGCTCCGTGCCTATCAACGTTTGGCCCATGCTGGATATTTAGGCGTCATGCGCCTGCATTTCGAAGAGGACAAGCATTGTTTCATTGTGCTTCAGCACATGACCGGTGGCACCCTTTTTGATCGCATCAAGCCCCAAAGCCTGCATCAGGTCACACAACGCCAAGCGCGACAATGGATGCTTCAACTGGTCTTGGCCCTGCAAGAGGTGCATGCAGCTGACTTGGTGCATGGTGATGTCAAGCCAGAGAATTGCCTCCTCGATGAAGAAGGCAACCTGCATCTCCATGACTTTGGTTCCTCCGTCCAACAAGGCACCATTCATCTCGAGCGTCTCATCCCCGGAACCGAACTGTACATGTCTCCCGAGTCCTTTCATCGTGCCCCATGTGCCGCCGAGCAAGATATTTGGGCTCTGGGACTTGTTTGGTATGCGGTGCTGTTTGCCGATCTTCCCTGGGACCGCGCCCGCCCCAGCGACCTTCACTATCACCGCTATTGTGTGACTGGACGTCTTCCCGGACCAAGCAGTGCCCTGGCTCTAATTACCGACGACCTTCACGAACTGCTACTGCGCATATTGGCCCCTGATCCGACAGAGCGACCTTCGCTGGATGACATTTGGGGATTCTTGGCTGCAGAGCAACCCTGGTTTCGTCCTCCCGGCGCACGAGGATCCTTCAGTCGCGCTCACCCCCCTCATCCTCTGATCGATGCACATCGCGCCCCACGTAACTCTGCCCCGTCCATTGCACGGCGGCACAGTCGTTCCATGACGTCAAGCTTCTTCAAGCGTGTGGTTACGCTTTGAAGCTCTTCCACGGCATGAAGTCAACGTACCACAACGCCTGCACTTTCGGACTGGCTCGGGAGTCGAGCCCATGAATTGTTTTACGATCGATTTTTGTTTCCTGCACTCTTGAATTGTTCCCGCAAGCAAGCGATCGAGATATGCTGTCTTGCTATGCGCCAGTTGTGTGTGTGCCCCTTCATTATGATATCCCTATTCCTGCGTGCTCTGTCTTTGCTGACAAAGGGGGCCCAAGAAAGATGACCCGGCTGAATCTGATGCGCTGTTTCCGTACTTGTTGATAGTCGTATTGAACATATAAGGCTTGGATTGGAAATTGAACATTAAATTGGGTATTCTACAGTTTCATGGCTTCTTCCACAATGCCATGAGGAAGATGTCTATGGGAAAATAGCTCTAGCGTCACGTCAATCCGGCCAGCGAGTCGGCAATTCGTAACTTCTCAGGTAGAGGTGGACGGTGCAGCCGCTGTCGAGTTGGCGGTGGATGAAGAAGCATCGGTGGGGCTGTGCGTTGAGGAAGCAGCCGTGGGAGAGGCAGTGGGAGCAGCGGTGGTGGAGGTTGTGGGGGCCGCGGTAATTGTGGTCATAGTCGTCGGAGCTGCCGTGGTTGTGGTCGTGGTCGCGGGGGCAGCCGTGGTCGTTGTTGTGGCCGTGGTCGTTGTTGTGGTCGTGGTCGTGGGGGCGGCCGTGGTCATGGTCGTAGTCGTGGGGGCGGCCGTGGTGGAGGTTGCGGGGCCAGCTGTGGTCGTGGTCGTCTTGATAGATGTTGATGTTGATGTCGTTGCCGGCCCTGGTGTCGTGGGTAGACCAGGCTTTCCTTCGGGAAACAGTAGAGCATCGAGATCCTTGGCCATGGCAAGCTGAAAGGCAACGTAGGCCCCTGCATCTGCCATTTCGGCCAGAACCTTTTGGTTGATATTCTCAACAGTGTCGCAAGCCTAAGCGCACGGTAAGCCAAAGATAAGAGACTTCAGCCTGGACTTTTCAACTCGACCCCAGCGATGCCACGCCGATATGGGAGCCTTTACCTGGTGATAGCAGGGATCGTAGGCAGCATACGGGACCCCTCCGTACATGTTGCGTTGCTCAATCGTTTTGGTGACTTCGGCACCTGTGAAAAGGCCACCAGAAGGGATGCCGTTGGCAATGAAGGGACCGTAGTCAGATCGGCCGTCAAAATCGGTGAGCTCATGGGCTAGTTTTTTGGCTTCCAGGCGGTCCGTGAACAGGTTCTGTGGCGTGGCCATGGTCCGAGGAGGGGCCAGATGAGTGTGCGCGCAAGGACATGGGCTGAGTGTCGTATCAGCACAAACCTCAATGACAGTCGATCCATCAAGAACACGCTGCCCATACTCGGGAGCAGCTGAGCTGCCGTTGTAGACGCCTCGGATAAAATTCGGGGATGCAACTGCACAAGGCCCAGTAAGGTTATGAAGAAAGCGAGGAAGAAAGAGAGAAAACAAATCTTGACGAAGCAACAGGGTTCTTACTCATGTCAAAATTGAGCATACAGCTGATGTTGCGCAGCGACTCAATCTACAACCCAGAATTGCAGTAATGCATGAGAACCACGGGTGAAGAGCGCCGGATATGTTGCGGAAACAACAACGAACGTTTGTGTCTTGCAGGTGCTGGACATATGCCTTTGAGCCCAAAAGACCCAGTTCCTCGGCGCCAAAGAAGAGGAATCGGACTTGATTAGCAAATTCAACACGCTTGGCAGCAAACTGAATGGCCAGCTCCAAATTGAACGACGAGCCAGATCCATTGTCATTGATACCTTGAAAAGCGAGGGCGAGGCGGTGGTGGTCAGCACATATGACAGTGCGCAAGCAAAAGCAAACCAAATCGGACCCGTGCACGTACCGGGGCCGAACGGGACTGAATCCAGATGAGAACTAGGAACAAGACAACCAATCACAGGGCAGTTCATTACGGAGGCACATGACCATGAACTCCAATTTCGATTGACTGAACACAAATGCTTCACTTACCCAATAGCCACAGCGCGATCAGGGCGCCCAGTCTTGGTCGTGGCGATAACGGTCTGCGAAATTGCAGTCCCAATTTTGGTGGAGGTCAAAACCTTCATGGAGACTGGGGCCTAAGAGTAGAACAACGGATGAGAAGCGCAAGAGCCTCTTGTCAAACATTCAAGAGAAGCGAGGGGTTGGATTCACGCACATCCTGTGTAGCTTTGGCGAGATCAAAAAGAAGTTGCGTTGTTGCGCCACTCAGACCAAGCATGGGAATGTTGACGTATTGGCCTGGCTCGCTGCCTAATTGTACAAACCAGAACGAAGAAAACACGTTGCACCAAGGTAAGCGGTTTGCTGTACTGTTAGAAACACCTTGCTTCAATCCAGGCCCGTGGTTTCAAGTGGGCAAACCTGCGACGGTGTAACGCAAGGCCTCGGTTTCAGAGACATTGTTTCCAAAAAGGATCGCTGCTACACCCGCAGCCTCAGCAAGGACTGCCTGTCAATGTGGGCGGCCATGCAAGAAATATGAGGGTGGTGGAGGGTGGCATGCGTGGTATGGCACAGGCGATTGTGGAGGACCTTGGCATAGAACGCGCAACCGCCGCGAGGGACAAGAGCCACGGTATCGGCCAGGGAGGCCCAGTCGGCGGCGTCGCATCCCCAGGCATCCGTGCCGGTGAGTGCCACGGCTGTGAGGGGAGCAGACACGTTTCCCGAGCCGGAAAAGCCCATTGTCTCGAAATCAATGTGGGGCTGCAGATTGTCGAGATCTGATCCAAACTTGGCTTGCAGCTCCACGGCGACTCCTGTTGCATCACCACAGGTTATGAGACAGGCGCACTGCGAAAAAGATGGCCGAAGAACGACGTCGGGGGAGAAGGGAGAAGGGAGAAGGGAGAAGGGAGAAGGGAGAAGGGAGAAATTGAGCGATGTGAAAGAAGAGTCCGGGGTATCGCACTCGTACGAACCGTCCATTTCGACGGAGAGGCTACCAGGGGTGATGGGAAGGTAGTCGTTCACCTCAAAGAAGATGGTTCTGAAGGTGAAGCGCCAGCATATTCAGAAATTGACGCGGGAGCTCTGGCCTGGTTTGGGTGGCATAGGTACCTGTGCTGGCAAGTGCAGGAGCAGTTCAAACGTACTCGATATCGTAGTCGGTGTAATTGCGAAGAACTTTGATGACATAATCCACAGAGGCATTGAAACCCGTGCTGGCGGTGCGCCGGCCCTCATACTCGTTTGCAATGTCCTGCAGAGCGTTGAGGTGGGTCATCAAGTTGGAGGCTGCACAAGAAGCGGAAGAGAAGGAAAAGGAGCAAGCATGCAATCAGCACAGGTGGCACCGGGGTCAGGATGAATGACCAAGAACCAGGCCCGTCTCTTTGAGCGCGCGCGAGCGGGGAGAGCAGGCATCAAGGATCAAGGACGAGCCAGGCTGCAAGCCATACTTTGGATGGCGCTGGCAAAGATGTCGGGATCAGTGACGTGATCGCCATCCTTCTGGCCCGAAAGGGTCACCGCAAGGATAATGGCGGTGGCAATAATGACCGCAACACTCGTGGCAATGATAAAGGATCGCGTGCGGTGTTTGGTCGTCTCCTCCTCATGATGCGGATGATCATTCCGAAATGCATCAGGGTTCAGCGGCGTATCCTCATCGCTCAGATCGTACGACTCGTGCCCGGCAAACCGAGTCGAAGCCCGCGGCATGTTGACGTTGCTTGCTCCTGCTCGAAAATGTTTCAGTCTCTGTGTGTGTGTGTGTGTGTGTTGTGTGTGTATTTTTTTTTGGGTGATTTGGAGAGAGAGAGAGTGAGAGAGAGTTTGAGAGAGAGTTGAAGAGAAAGAGAGAGAGTTAGAGTTAGAGAGTTAGAGAGAGAGAGAGTTAGAGAGTTAGAGAGTTAGAGTTAGAGAGAGAGAGAGAGAGAGAGAGAGAGAGAGAGAGAGAGAGAGAGAGAGAGAGAGAGAGAGAGAGAGAGAGAGAGAGAGAGAGAGAGAGAGAGAGAGAGAGAGAGGGAGAGAGAGGGAGAGAAATTTGAAGGAGTTTTCCGAGATTTCAGAAGCAATTGGAGAACACAGAGAGGGTGCGGTGAAGGAGCCAAGGACTGGATGGCAGAGGAGGGAGAAGAAGCCATGGCAACCCCGACCTGCACAGCACGAACGAGGCGGCTGAGCTGGCTATGGAAGATGATGCTGCATACGCGTGACAAGGGTCTGGTGTCATTCTGGGATTCGAATTGTGGGTCAGCTTCATGCAGGAAGCGCCGGGGGGAGGGTAGCAAAACATGGACGGCTAAAACACTACCCATCGCGCGGACCTGAGGCCCGTTAAAGTGCGGAAATGGCAGGGAAAAAAAAAAAACAAGAAAGGCAGAGAGAACGGTCGGTCAAAGGGCCATTGAAGCTGCTTGACCTAGTTCTAGCTAGAGAAAGAAGGAGAGAAAATAGAAAGAAAGAAAAGAGTCTAAGACAAGTAAAAACGACAACGAGAAGACATGGTAATGCACGGATAGAGGAGCAGAACCCGAAGGTGGCCACACACGGGCGTGGCGGGCAGAACACAAAAACCGGAACAAGCAAGTGTGGAGGAGACATTATGATGCCTGATTGGACTTGAGCATGGGGGGACAACTCCGCGAGCGAGTTGTGGCCCATTATGCGCCATGCATGGTCGTGGCTTAATGGGGGACATAGTTGAAGAGGTAAGAGACGCTCTCGCCATTGTGGGTACGACGGATGGCCTCCGAGAGGATGCCAGCGATATCGATAATCTGCAGCTTGCTGCAGCGCTCCAGCTTGTCGCCCAGGGGGCAAGTGTTGGTCACCTGCAAGGATACGAAAGCAAGCAGCACCGGGTCAAACACGGGCCAAACAGTGCGGACAGTCTGAAACGGGGTTGTCGTCCCAAGATTTGACTTGACATACCACGATGCGCGTGAGAGCCGGGGTGTCGTTCAACTTCTTAATGGCATCACGGGAGAAGAGACCGTGGGTCACGATGGCAGTAACGTCTTCAGCGCCCTGGTCAGCCAGCTTTTGCGCGGCCATGCACAGGGTGCCGCAGGTATCGGCAATGTCGTCGACCAGGATCGCACGCTTGCCGGCAACATGGCCGACGAGAGTCATGCTAGCCACCTCGTTGGCTTTCTGTGTGTTGAAAGGGACACCAGGGGAACACCACGAATATGAGCACGGGTGTGGCTCGACTCTTGAATCAAAAAGGGAAAGACAGAGAAAAAAACAACAAGGAAAAAAAAAAAAGTGATTCAAACCTTGCGCTCCTTGTGAATGAGGGCAAAGGCGGCGCCCAGTTGCTCGGCAATGGAGGTCACACGCTTGGCACCTCCGGCATCGGGGGAGACCACGACGGTATCGGCCAAGTTGGGAAAGTTTTCCATGATATACTGGATAATGGCGGGCTCAGCGTACAAGTTGTCCACGGGCACGTCGAAAAAGCCCTAATTATCAGATGGCAAGGGGAGGGGATTTGAGAAAAGAAAGAGTGCGTCAAAACGGGGCATGGCAGCTGATATGATACGCCTCAAAAAAGGGGGGCCAGAAACACAGTGTGTGCGTGTGGTACCTGAATTTGCGAGGCGTGAAGGTCCATGGTGATGATGTGGTCAGCACCAGCCACGGTCAACATGTTGGCGACAAGCTTGGCCGTGATGGGCGCACGGCTCTAACCATGTGTGACAGACGGTCCGGTGAGCGAGAAGACATGAGCGACAAGTATGTCGGCACGGCTGGGACCACAAGAGGCTTTCTTCACTACAGGGAAAAAAAATCACTTGACAAACCTTGTCCTTCTTGTCCTGACGGGCATAGGGGTAGATGGGCAGGATGGCGGTGATGCGCTGGGCCGAAGCATACTTGCAGGCATTGATCTACCCCCAAAAAAAAAGCGGGGGATAAGATGAAGGGAGGGGAAGATGTGATGAGAACGAGGATGAAAATGAGATGATCTTACCATGATAAGCATCTCCATCAGGTTATCGTTGACTTCGCCCGAGCCGCAGCCGACAATGAAGACATCCTCGCCACGGACGCTCACACCAATCTCGACCCTGCAGGCACGTGAAAAGGCGAGGTGAGGTGTATGAACAAGAGCAAAAGAGAGAAAGAGAGAGAAAGAGAGGGAAAAAGACACAGCAGCAGCGCGCGCCGCCGCCGCCGAGCAAAGTCAAGCAAAAGGAACGCACGCAGTCTCTTGGTTGGCAAACTTGGCAACATGGCAGGGCTCGAGGGGAAGACCCAGCTTATCAGAGATGCGCTTGGCCAGTGTGTGGTTCTCCTGACCTGCAAAGTCACCGCAATTGGGGTTTGATGGAGCACGGGCGGGATTTGAGCTTCAGCGAGGCGCGGGGCCAAGGCAAACCAACAACATGGAGAGCGCAAGAGGGCAGCGCGCGCGGCCACGCTATACCGCCGCCATCGTACCAGAGAGGATCTTGATGTTACCGGACGACATCTTTTCAGGTTGGATGGAGTCTGCGCACGAGTAGCCAAGGGCCAGTCGATGGTGAGAGGGCACACCATCACCAGCTGTCACGTGCGACCTCTCGCCCAAAACGATGCGAGCGCCCTTTTCCCCTCCTTCTTCGGCTCGAAACACATGCTTGAGATGCCAAAGGCGATGGATGAACAACCAGCCAGCCCCGTCGGTCACATCAAACACCCCGATTTAACAATCCATCCAGCACCAGCACCAGCACACACTGGGCTGGCGCTGCCATCCCAACACCCCGCCGCCGCCTCCATCATCATCATCACACAACACACACACACACACACACACACACACACACACACACACACACACACACACACACACACACACACACACACACACACACACACACACACACACACACACACACACACACACACACACACACAAGCCCTTCAAGGACCCACCACAGGGTGTGATAGGCGAGATGACAGTGTGAAATGGAAAGAAGAGAGAGAGAGAGATGGGATGTGTGGGGGGGAGAGTTTGAGAGAGTGGGTGTGGACGGGGGGTTCAAGGGAGTGTGGGAGCTCAAGGGGATTGAGAGAAAGAGCAAATGAGAGACTCAACTTCAGAGAAGTAGAGAGAGAGAACCTGTCATTCTTTTCTTTCAACCTGTGTAGTCAACACTGAGAGAAGAGAGAGAGAGAGAGAGAGAGAGAGAGAGAGAGAGAAGGTCTGCGCTGGAGCGCCGGAGCTATGGGAGAGCGGTTGATCCGAGCCTGTGAATGAATCAGTAGGGATGGCGGTAAGCAGACACGAAGCATAATCATCATCTGGATGTATAATTTCATTAAACAGGCAAGTGATGGAGTAAAAGGTAGCAGGGTAGCAGAATAAAATGGAGACGAGCTCAGTACACCAGAGCGACGAGTCAACGCCTCGGCATGAGACAATGCCGTGAAAACAACAACAACAACAACAACAACAAGATGGCTTTTACTGAATGAGGCAACAGCCACCGCCATTGCTACTCGCGTCGCCGCCCGCCGGGTCGTGGCTGCTCAGCGCCAGACTGCTGCCACCGCCCGCATTCTTGTTGCGGCCGTGTCCACTGCGGCGCTGCGTAAAATGGGCCGGTAGCGTCAGGCCCGTGTCGTTGACCGCCTCCAACGGTTCCTCCACCAAAATGTTTGTCTCCTCAAACATTGGCTTGGGCGATCCTGGCGGCACAGGGCTGGGCGAGCCAGCTCGCACAGAATCCAGCGAAGATAGAGGCGCCACACGTAAGCTTGAGCCCATGCGCGAGACCACCGGCGTGGTCGTGCCCGATTCGCTGTGACTCCGCCGCTTCTTGTCTCGTCGACTACGACGACTGCGTCGCGACGTATCTGGTGTTTCCGCCCGTGCGGGTAACACCAAGGATACACTACTGCCACTCTCATGCCGCGATGCTCGAGCCTGCTCCAACGTCATCACGTCTGCGTGCTCCCCCAGCACCAACCGCTCAAACGCTCGCTGCCAACACCACCGCCCAGTGAGTGCAACCCAGCGTACTTGCTTGCCCACACCAATAAAATCCTTGTTCCTCCCCCCAGCACACCACGTTCCCCTAATACACGCCCAGGGGCATCAAAGCAGGCCGGCAGGCATGCTGGATTTTGTAGACACACCTGCTTCTCCTCCGCACTCATGTCTTGCGTGGCCACATCGGCAAAGCCACGGTCTTCCAAAAACACGTCAGCCATCTCCTCATCATCGCCCGCCTTCTGGTCGAAGCTTGCATCTCCGTCCGTCACGGACAGCGCCGGCGCTGCCCCCTTTGGTTCGGTCTGCTCCGAGGCCTGATTTTCGGGCTCGACTTGGTTGTCCACCTCCACCTCCGCATCCTCATCCTCATCATCGCTCACGACCACCTGCCGCGGCTCGCGACTCTCGTCCCCATCCGCAATCTAATTCATCATTCCAGGATCGAGGAAAGAGGGGGGGGGGGCGAATAAGAAAAAAAAAAAAAAAAAAAAAAAAAAAAAAAAAGCCTCCCCCTCCGCTATCGCATTCTCGGCCACTGTCCGTTTCTTGCCAGTCTCTTCTCGTCCGGCACACGGCTAGACCCACTCACCAAATCATCGCCAGTGATGCCCTTGCCCAGCGTCAAGCGTCGCATGACCTGTATGTCAGACAGATTGTGCCAAACTGTGAGGGGCCAAACAACCACTGGGAGAGTTGGCAAAAGCATCCCTCCGGCCCACAGTTTGTGCAAACGGCCAACCAACCGTTTGTACTTTGCCCGTTTGAATCGGCACTTCAACCGATCCTATTCGCACCACATCGCGCGCACCGTGACTATGCTTCATACAGCGAGACACCCCCTGCACACTGGAAAACAAAAGGGGGGGGGGGCATGCGCAGCCTACCGTGGCGGCTGGGCGTGGTCGAGCTTGGGGCTGAGTTGGTAAAGGCCTGTGCAGCCTTCAATACACTGACACGCGTCGCAGCCAGCGCATCGGCTTCTTCTGCTCCCTTGGGAGCCTTCTTGGCGCGTGACATCTTGCTCGTAGACGCTGTTGCGCTCGCAGTAGCACTCGCAGCTGTGGCATTTGCGGTAGCTTTGCTCGAGTTGTCAGGTGCAGGCGAAGAAGCCTCAACCTCCCCGTCAAAGCCATACTGTACACGCCAAATGAGTACATAGCCCAAATGTTGGTTCAATGGAGCCAATGCACATGCAACAGATAAAAACACAGAACATTACTGATCAACCAAACGCGTGGCCGAGCCAGAACCTACCACCGAATTTCGGGAAATGTTGCCTTCGCTCGTCTTATGGCTCAGCTTGCGCGTTGCCTTGGCTTCGGCCGATACATCATCTATGCGTATCGTTGCAAAGGTTGTGCCCATGTGCAGCGCTAGTTAATCAAAGTCTTGCTCTTTGATGCGTGACTGCTGAGGTGACCGCCCAAGACGCTCACCGTCAAGTTCTGCCAAGAGGGCGGCCAGCTTGGCTTGGCGTTTTTCTTGTTCTTCTCGACGCTTCTGGCGCTCCTCGTCCTTGCGTTGGGCATCAAGTTCCCACTCACCCAACGCTTGGGTCGGATCGGCGGCTTCAACAGGTGCTGACAGCGTGGGGGCTTCTGCTGCTGCCTGCGCCTCTGATTCGGGTGCAGTTGTGCCTAGTGTGCGATGCCAACGCAATGCTGTGAATCTAAAGCCTTGGCAAAGGCGCAGCCATTGTCAACGTTGGTGGATGGTAGTCTCAACCTGCTGCTGCGTCGTCTTGCTGAATGAGTTCCAAGCCCTTGCCTCCCGTAATTGTCACGCTTGGTTCGGTCGGATGATAAGCCTGCAGATCAGATTGGGCACGAGATGAGTTGGCTCGGCAATCCCCTGAGACTATGGGAGAGCTTGTTTCAAGGCCTGGCATTTCCTCGGTGGAGGTTTGACAGCAAAGAAGCGCGCAAAGGTCGTCGAAGCGAAGAAAAACGCACAAGTGGCAAGGCCGGCACGTCGAGAAAACTGGGTCCGTTCCGAACCGACTCCAGCGCTGGCACATGGGCACGAGTCGAGGTACGAGGTGAGTGTGTAGGTTTCGAGAGGCCGGAACTTGACATATCATGCACTTACTCTTGTGAATGCCCAAGACACCAACGGTGCCATCAGCACAACTGTAAACACAGGCTGATTCTGTCAACAGCGAAGCCACCTGACGCGATCAGGAGCGCAGCGTGTCATGGCAGTTCAGAGCAAGCCGGGGGAAGCGTGAGGAACCTAAGGGCTACAGAGCCCCCTCAACTCGAATATCAAGTACAGTTTGGTACAGAGCATATGCGACAAACCCCAAGGACTGGGCTGATGGCAAAGAAAGAGGCCACGGCTGTTCGGCGCATGAAATTCCACAGGCGCACAGAGCAATCCTCACTCGCCGTCAAAATCAACCCACTTCCCGGGCCTGCGACGAGTAGCCAGTGGTGTTTAAAAAAAAAAAAAAGGAGGATTCGGCGGTGCCAAGAAATCATGGTCTATTGGCAGAAATCGTGACTGACCGACGTGCACAATGTCGTTAATTGCCTTTGTATGCCCGGTGAAGACGACGTCAGCATCCTGGAAATAGCCAATTTATGTCAGTTGCACGATGAACCGATTTGCGTGGAGGCCTGCACGACAAGGACGTACGCGCACGTCGCCGGCCACGCGATCGGGGGTGGGGTAGACACGAAGGCTCAAGTCCTCGCTTGCTATAGACGATGAATCACGGTTGAATGCAAAGCGAATGAGTTGAGCATTGGTATTTGTGAGGTGCCATGCAGACGTGTCAAAAAGGGCCAAACCAGCAATGATATGGGTGCCGTTGATGGTCGGGATGGCACAGGTGATGGCCTCCGAAGCTCCAAACAATGTATTTTGTGGATGGGACGTTTCAGCATCGAGGATGCGTACCATGCCTTTTGAAGCACACGAGCGTTTCCGGTGGCACAGATGAGTCGGGGAGGGGCATGCAGGATGAGCAGGTGCAGAGTTGCCAAGGAACAGAATGGCCTGGTCCAGTCCCACACGCACCGTCGCCGCCGGCGGCCAGGATTCGGCGGTCATCCACAAAGCGCGTGGAAGTTACGGCACAATCAAAGGTAAATTGAGACTGAACTCGGTCACGGGCCAAGTCCCACACAATGCCCTGACCATCATCGGCTCCAGAAACAGCCATGGTGCCGTCTGGGCTAAAGTCGATACTATTGACGCTCTTCTTATGCCCCTGCAGCTCCTTCAGCACCTGTCATTGTGGACAAAGATGATGATGTGGGTTTCAGTTGATGCCCAGGCGAACAGCAACTACCCGTAATGCTAGGTGCAGGCAGGTGCAGGAAATGCCGGGCGTGTTGCAGCAGCACGTACCACGCCACGGGCCACGTCCATATAGATGACAGACCCTGTGGGACCTGCTGCCAGCACTTTTGTAGCACCTCGATTCAAGGATACGCAGCGGACCCAATCACGTAGGTCGTCAAATACCTAAGCAACAGATGCGTATAGGATGAAGACGTCGAGCTCAGCCTGGCGGCTGTGCCCAGCAACATGGATGCTTGAGAAGAAAGGGAAAGGAATTCTGATTCGCACCTGAATGGGAAGCCGCCGTCCATGTTGCCACACCTGAAGTGGAGATCCGGGTGTAAAAAATGGTGAGTTGAGATGGTAGTTTGCGAGGCGAGACAGTGACGCACGGCAAAGATGACATTTAGGCCAAAGAAGATTCAACAAGGGAGCTTTTACCTTGATGGAGCGATCATCGGAGCCCGTGACGTAAATGGAATGGCGCCGAGCCGAGGTGAGAGCATGGACGGCGTGTTGATGACTCTGAAGTTCGGCCAGGGAGAGCTGCGCCTCAGAGGGCAGACACGCATGAAGTGGAAGCAGAGCCAGTTCCTCGAGTTTGCCATTCAGGCGTGCCACCTCGAGAAATTTGGCTGGAAACCTAACAACGAGGCCAGCCGGCCAGCGCACGATGAGGTCACTTGGACCAGAAAATTTCCGGGCAAGGGAGGGTGGAGGAGAACGCGGCGCCACATGAGAGGGGCAGAGACGCACCCACGGAAGGGTTGAGGTTGACATCGAGCTGGCAATAGGCGCGCAGCGATTTGGACAGGCAGCTGCGATTTGCCGCACACACGGGTGAGTTGTCAGTTTGATGAGAAACGCGTTGGGAAGGGGACTCGAATTTGCTCGTTGGCGGTAGGCCTGCCAAGCAACACGACCCACTTGTGCTGGGGATTGCGAGAGGGCAAAATGGGACTCAGCCAACGCCAGCTTGAAGGTCTTGAGCGACTGCGCCATATTTTCTGAACAAGATGACCGGCAGGTGAGCTCACGACGCCCACACCCAAATACAATCCATGAGGCCGCATCGATGGTGGGATGAATCAAGCGGAGGCGACGCTGGTGCGCATGATCATGTGTGTGTGACCGACCGGGCAACGCATCAAAGTCCTCGACGAGGTCTTCGAGATCTCCAGTCACGAGGATGCGAGCCCTGATGTAGTCGGGGTTGCCGAGACAAAGCTCCATCACCTCGTTCCAGCGGCAGGCGGCTGTGGTTGGACGGCAACACGGTCATGGTAGTGACATGAACGATCGAAGAGGATGCCGGGCAATTAAGATGACCAGCAAAGTGGCTTTCGCACGCCTACCGATCAAGTGGTCGCTCAGCTCGCGAAGTCTTCTGGTATTGTATCTGGGGTCGGGAACGCAGGCGAGTTGGGCATTGCCGTTAGGTGACTTGAAAGTTGCAAGATGGGTGGGCCAAGGTAAGTGACGTACCGCTTGCCGTCGCGGGCCAAAAGGCCTCTGTCGCTCGTTGGAGGAAACTGTAGCGGCTGGTCTTGAATCTGTCTCTCGGCTTCACCGCTCTGCTCAAAGGGGCGACGAACCGACCAAGGTGCACCGGCGTCGTTTGGGTGTGAGGATTGGAGATGCAAGGCACGAGCGCGCGATGGCGTCAGCAGCAACACAAGATTGCTCCAAAGTGTGTCTGGTTGAATTTGTGCGTTGGGATACCTCGGAAATGCCAAAACGGCGGACCATCTCAGGAGGATGCTGAAATGGCTTTGGGGCATCGGCCCATTTGCCGGAGAAATAGTCTGCCAAATGCTCGTGAACTGCGGTGAAGGTGTGAATTTCGGAGAGCATGTCTCCCTGCACAACATCGCCGTAATCCTCGATGAAGAATTGGAGCAGGCCTGGATGTTCGTGGATGGTATGCTCCTGTGGTGAAACAGGCAACGTGAGCGGCAAGTGAACCAGTGAGTGAGGTCAGCATGCGGACTTGTCAGCCGTTTCGAAGCAAGACAGTGTGCTTGACCTCGACGTAGTTGGACAGAGCATGAACCAGGGCTCGCCACTGCTGCTCAGGAACGCGCCGCACGGCCGTCGGGGCGCGCCCAAGGTTGGAGAATACTTCATTGAGGACCTAGATCAAAGAGGAAGCGGGTTTGGTTGGTTGGTAACAGGTCACAATGAGTGAATGTTGGTGGGGGGAGCCGGTGGTTTGGATCAGGATCACACGACAAGGTTGCAGACGTTGTCCGAGAGGGGGAGAGCATGGTCATGTTGTGTGCAGATGGGTGAAAGCTACCTCATCATTCAGGGCAACAACATCTTCCAGCTCGGCCCAGGTGATGCCATCTTTGCAAGCTTCAATGCAGCAAAGGACAAAGTGGACGAGCTTCTTGCCGTGCGCCTTTTCCAACCGACTCAAGCTGGCCAGAAAGGATTGGCCATCCTGCCAGGCACGGCGTCAAAATGGTGAGTGCTGGCGATCAAGAGAGGAGAAGAGAGGAGAAGGAGAAGGGGGAGGAGAAGAGAGGAGGAGGAGGAGAGGAGAGGAGGAGGAGAAGGGGGAGCGCGCGAGAAAGTTTGAGAGCACGAGAAGAGTAGGCAGAGATAGACCAGACAGAAGGCAGACATGGCAAAAAGAGCAGACGGAGACACAGACAGAGACAGAGACAGAGAGAGGACAGAGGCAGCCAGGACCAGCAGCAGCAGCAGCAGCAGCAGCAGCAGCAGCAGCGAGGCTCAGCGCGAGAGACAAGGGGCGGCGGACCAATTTGGTGGGCGGCATTTTGTGCAGTGGAACACCCAAATAAAAATAAAAAATAAAATACTTAGCTGCTATAATACTGTAATGTATATCACACTTTATGTTGTACAAATATCATAATTGAAGAGTGGTAGTTTAGATTGATGAACCCTCTTTGGGGGAGCGAATGCAGTGAGAGTTTGGTTGCTGTGGCATTGTTTTGCTTGGCGACGGGGCACTGCTGACATTGTTGCTGTACTGCCTGCATGCTGCAAATACTGCTATAAGCTCAGCATAAAGTAACATGAGACTTTGCTTCATGTCTTCACGAACCAACTAAATAGCTACACAAACCCAAGTTTGATCTTCCTACAATAAGTAGATATGATACAACATTAACTATCGTTATCAGTACCTGATACCCAACAAAAACCTCAATGTTCAGTTCATCAACCCCCTTGTCAGACAATTTTCTGTTGCTTTGCAATACGACGTCGGAGTGTTGTTGTTGTTGACTCTCTCTGTGGCTCGAGCGAGGTCAGTGGCTGCGCCGGGAGGAGGGGAGGGGCGTGTAGCAGCGATGGTGATGGTGCATGTAGTGCCCGGAAGAGACTGTCTGGGGGAAGAGAGACGGAGTATGGCTGCTCTGTGCTGTGCTGTGCTGTGCTGTGCTGTGCTGTGCTGTGCTGTGCTGTGCTGTGCTGTGCTGTGCTTGCATTTACATGTCAAATGGAATGGATGGGGCATTCGATCAAAGGCTGACTCACGGTCGCTCGCTGCTTGGTTGCAGACTGAGCATTGATGACATCGGCCTGCGTCGACGTTGGATCCACCACCGACAGCATGGCCGCAACTCGTAAGTTATCGCATTGCGCGCCAGGAGGCTCACGACACGCCAAGGCCGGGAAGTCTAGTCTTGTTTGAACTTGCTAAAACATTGGATGCGCTGCATGCTTCCAACCATCCACTTGATTTTGTGCAGCCATTCGAAGCAAGGTCACGGTGCGCGTCCCAGCAACGACGGCCAATCTGGGCAGTGGCTACGACTGCCTAGGCATGGCTGTGGACATTTGGAATGAGCTCACCGTTGAGCTTGCCAGCGCGTCAGTGCCGTCCCAGCCCCAGCCACGTCCGCCCGGAAGCCCAACCCCCTTCCAGCCCTTTCGGATCCTCTGTTGAGGCCAGTTGAACACGCTCGCGCTCACTTTCCTTCATCCTGTGCACGGGCGTTTAGGTTCTCGATCCACATTGAGGGGGAGGGGGCAGATGTGCTGCCGCGCAATGGCGAGAATCTGGTGGTCAAAGGCGCCGAACTTGCCTTCCGCTTGGCTGGCGTGCCCATGCCGACATTGGCGTACTCTTGCCGCAATGACATCCCTTTTGGCAGCGGCTTGGGCTCCTCCTCAGCCGCCATCGTTTCCGGCTTGCTTGCTGGTCTTGTCCTTGCCGGCAAAGAACTTGCCGTTGCTGGGCAGGAAGAAATGCTGCAGGCTGCTGCCGAAATTGAAGGACACATTGACAACCTCTCCCCGTGCATCTATGGCAACCTCCAGGTAGATTGCCAAGCTGATGTTTCTCCCCAAATGCCTCCCCTTCGCCCCTCCGTTTGTATAATGTTGCAGGCCTTTTGTATCTTTTCACGACTCGCTACGTGTTTCGCATGGCCTTCCAGATTGGCGTCAACAATGGTGAACGGTGGGACACGACTGGTATCCCAGTACCTGCTGGCCTCCAGTGCGTAGTCCTCACGCCCAATGTGCCCATGTCTACCCACGAAGCTCGCGCCATGTTGCCCGACAAGGTGGGCCCCCCATGGCATGCACTCTCCAATCTGAGCTCTTCATGTCTTGTTTTGAAGCTGTGCGCTCATCAGCCCCTCTGCTGCCAGATTTCTCGCGAGGACGCCATCTTTAACATTGGCCGCGCCGCTCTGCTCATCAATTGCATCCTCACCCGTGATTACGAAGCCTTGCGCGCAGGTATATCAGTGTCATTGTATCACCAGACCCCCTGCTTTCGAGCTTCGTTGCACAATCGCATGTTCTTACGCACACAATTCCTCGTGCTGGCCTGATTTTGAATATTTTTTCTTAGCAACGGAAGATCGACTCCATCAGCCCGTTCGCGGATCCGCCAAAGTCATGCCTGCGCTTTATCCCGTCATTCAAGCTGCGCTTGACGCCGGGGCCAAAGGTACACACAATCACACTTTACGACATAACATACATCTCACGCTTTTCGAGCGAGCCGTCAATGGCGCTCACAAATGCGAGCCCAAAGCCTTTCATGTCATTGCTTTCTTTCATGCTCTTGCTTGTCTTGGTTGCATGGGAACATCTATCAGGAGCATTCTTGTCTGGTGCAGGCAGCAGTATCATGGCCCTGACTGTTGGCGCCCGCGGTGACGTATACGCCCAGAGCACCCTGGAAAGACGTGACCGTCAAGTGGCGGATGCCATGCTTGCCGCCGCTCGTGCCAACGGTGTCGATGGCACGGTCCGCATCACGCGCCCGACGGCCGTGGGTGCCCACGTTGTCGCAGTCACCGAAACCATCACGCGGCCAGGCTTGGCTGCCCAGGGCGATTGCCCCAGCTACGTCAGCACGCGCGGTGGCCCTGGTGCGTCACAGGCCATGATGGTCACACCCACCCCGCATCTACCCTGCCTTCGCCTGGCGTTCTTTCATTGTCCTGCCCATCCACAGCAAGTGCCGTGTCTTTTGAAGAGGCCGTGATGGCTGGCCTGGCTCCAGACGGTGGTCTCTATGTACCCAACCAGGTGGGCCCATCTCTGCTCAAGCCGCACTCCGACCCTTTTGAAGACCTGCCGTCGCCTTGTGGTTTCTCCCTCGCCACTCTCATTTGTGATGCCCTTACTTGACTGGCTATAGATCCCAAAAGTCACCGAAGAGACCATGCGCGCCTGGCGTCGACTCTCCTTTCCCAAACTTGCCGTCGAGGTTAATTTTGATTTCTGAGCAGACTCACAGCGGGTACACCGCCATGTTCCGCGCTCATAACCTCCCTCGCTCTCATACACGCAGGTGATGGGGAAATTTATTGGTCAGAACGAGATACCTGCGGGCACGCTTGAAGCCCTGGTACAGCGCTCCTACGCTACTTTTGACTCGGCGCACGTCACGCCTCTCATTGAGGTGCGTTCGGCTGTTTGCAAAGTCCTGATTTGTCGACCACTCGTCATATCTTGACAGATCAGATATTGACAAACAAAGTAGTATCGCTGGCTCGAGTTTTGATCGTCTCACAGTCGCTTCGGGCTGCTATGCTCTCACAGTTCTCAGAGGATGGCAGTGTGTACTTGCTCGAACAGTTTCACGGGCCCACCTGCGCTTTCAAGGACGTGGCGTTGCAATTCGTAGGCAACCTTTTTGAGTATTTTTTGTCACGTCGCAATGCGCAGGTCTGCCATTGCTTGCAAAGCATGCGAGCGTTGGTCAAGTGATCATTGGCACGCCAACCTCACCCCTACACCTTTCTGATTTGTTGCTGCTGTTGGTGGCAGAGCGAGAAGCCCAAGCACATCACTGTCCTTGGTGCCACCTCGGGGGATACAGGCAGCGCCGCCATATTTGGCTTGCGAGGCAAGGCGAACGTGGATGTAATCATTCTTCACCCCGAAGGCCGCGTTGCACCCATCCAAGAGGCGCAAGTACGGCATCGAGCTTGGAATGGATTGCCCAAAAGCTTGACGTACAAATGCAAGACCTCACCCTTCCTTTTTTTTTTTTTTTTTTGTCGCAGATGACGACTGTCTTGGACGACAATGTGCACAATGTGGCCGTCAAGGGCACGTTTGATGATTGCCAGGCGATGGTCAAGGAATGCTTCAATGACCCCGAATTTCGTCAACGTCACACTCTGGCCGCGGTCAACAGCATCAATTGGGCTCGCATCTTGGCACAGGTGCGCACAGGATCATGGCGATGCACCCTGCATGCAAACAGCTCTTGCAAAAGCAAGCAGTGGCCTTGTCCCATCCCCGACTAGGCGCCCGGGATCTGCTCAACGCCTCATGCTTCGCTGACTCTTCATGCATGGGCTGCTTTCAGATTGTGTACTACTTTTATGCCTACTTTCGCTACTTGGACTTGTCGGAGATTGAAGCAGCAGCCCTCCCCCCTGTGGCTTTCGTGACACCAACTGGCAACTTTGGCAACGCTCTAGCAGGCTTTTATGCTTCACAAATGGGCTTGCCCGTGTCGCGCCTTGTTGTCGCTACCAACCGCAATGACATCTTGTATCGCTACTTTGCGCACGGCGACTACACGTCGCGTCCGGTGGAACCATCATTGGGTACGTTTTGTCACTCTTGCACGCCAAAACGCGAGTGCATGACCATTCTAATTCAATCATTTGTGCCTCGCGAGCAGCACCGGCCATGGACATTGTGGTGCCCTCCAACTTTGAGCGTTACGTGTACTGGCTGCTGGATGGTGACAGTGTTCGCTGTAAAGGTCAGCGACGCCTGAGTCGGGGCTGGCTTGCTGCTTTTGTCAACCGATGCCCCCCCCCCCCCCCCCTTTTTTTTCTTTTCGTTCTACTTCCCCCTTTTCCTCACAGTCTTGTTGATGTTGATTGCATCATCATCGTCGGTGCTTAACTGTGGCCAATAGCCGTCATGGATAAGGTCAAGTTGACTGGGCGTCTTGACTTTGGAGCTGATCAAGCCCGATTGCTTCAACGAGCACAAGCCTTTTTTGGGGCTGCCCGTGCCTCTGACGATGACATCCAAGGTTAGCTGCAATGTGCCGACATGGGTTGTAGCCTCTGTCAGGGGGCATGTGCCTGGTTTTGTTTCTGGTCACTCCTGCTGAAGTTGAGCGCTGACGATGCTGGGATGTGCGGGGATGTACAGGCATTGTGGCGACATATAAGAAGCAGCGCAGCTATGCACTCTGTCCACATTCAGCTGCTGGTCTTTTTGCTATGGAACAGTACGTGATGACACTGCCATGGCAGTATAGTGGTGGTGCTGGTGGCGGCGGCGGTGTGTGTGTGTGTGTGTGTGTGTGTGTGTGTGTGTGTGTGTGTGTGTGTGTTAACGTGTGCCCAGATTGCCTGACTGCTGGCTCGATGCGTAGATTTCGTGACCAGCTTGCAGGGCCCTTCATCTGCTTGGCCACGGCCCATCCAGCCAAGTTTGGCGAGGGCTTGGAGGAGGCACGCTCCATGCAGCCACACTTGCCTCCACAACTTGATGGTAAGCTCACCCTCAAGTCACACTATAACAAACAAAATATTAGAGAAATAAAGACTGGTTCATCGCGGGCTCACATGCGGACCCTGTTGCCAGGCTTGACAACGCAGCCGCGTCGCTGCCACCACCTTGAGCACTCGCTGGAGGACCTGAAGGCATTTGTACATGAAACCATGTCACGGCGCCACGCCGAGCTGGCCGAGCGTACGTTCGATCTGCCCTTTCACGACCCTACCCCGGTCCCAACTCCACTCATCCCATCTCGTTTCTTCGTTTCTGTTTTTCTTTCTCTTTTCACACTGGGAAAATAGGCCGATTGACGACACCTGTCGCCCCGCAAAGTGGTCATGAGGCCAATGTTTCTCGTGACGTGAAATCTGCCAGTCAATTCTGGCCGACGCTTGCCCTTGTCGCCGGGGCCTTTACTGCCGGGCTGCTGGCGCAACGACTTGTCCGCTGGTAAACCTACCTGGCCACGGTCGTTTTTGTTGTTGTTCTGCTTTTTGCCCCTGTTGATGTCCAGACATACAATCCCATCCCATTCTGGAAAGTGCCAATCATGCGTTTGGCCTGTTGTCTTGAAACCGTGTGCTCTCTCTCTCTCTCCCTCTCTCTCTGAAGCGAGTTTGCTCAACGCCACTTTCAAACTTGGGCGGCTGGTTCATAGTTGAATTGTTTTACAATCAAAACGAGTTTTATTCTTATTGCCATTCTGGATCAAAGAAACCCGACCTCAGCGAACAAAAGATCAGTACCGATCGCCACTACATCTCTGAAATCCACTACCCCGACCCTCTAAATTCATCACATCTGATCCAGAGCCCGGCTCCTCCTCTGAAACCCGATCGGCCAACACAAAGCGTGATATATATCACACTTTGCGTCTCTTGACCGTTATTTGCGAGAGATCCGAAAAAAAATCTCGAAACGTTGCGCTGCCGTTGAACGTCGCCGTCACTGCGTCGCCGTCACTGCGTCGCCGTCACTGCGTCGTTGCCGTTGGCCGTTTGCTGCTGGCGTGAGCGGTTTGTTTACGGTACCACAGGCAGAGGAAGAAGCCGGCAAAAAAGAGTCTGTGTCAAGGCCGCGGCTTGGGGCGCAGCTATAGAGCGCTGTAGCTGACTTGTGGTCGAGCTCGCCCGTAGCGCTTGGGCGTGGTAATTATTGTTCTTGCAACTCCAGAAGTGCCCGGGTACACTGGGGCCGACAAAGACGTTTGAGTGAGCATTTTGCAACACCAGCAGTATGCCCCGAGAGCTCATCACGCTGCAAGTTGGGCAGTGTGGCAATCAGATTGGCAGCGAGTTTTGGAAGCAACTCTGTGCTGAGCATGGCATCCGTCCCGATGGCATCCTGGAAGACTATGCTGTCGGTGGTACCGATCGTAAGGATGTCTTTTTCTACCAGGTTGGTAATTGCTTGACCTTCCGTGCTGTTTTATGGCATGCTTCGCACACCCTGTTCCGTTCCAGTTGCAGCACTGCACATTTGTGGTGCAGAACAGGCTTTGGTTCGCTTGAATATCCATCATTTTGCCTCGACTCACTTGTTGATCGGCTATCAAATCCTCAGGCCGACGATGACCATTACATCCCGCGTGCCGTGTTGATGGACCTCGAGCCCCGCGTAGGTTTGACTTGCTGACAACTGATTTCAAGTGTTCAAATCGCATTGCAGTGCTGCGTTCAACTCGTGCAACCCGCAGCTGCTCAACGGCCTTCACTTATCTTTACACATCCTCGTGGGTCTCCTCAGGTCATCGATGGCATTCGCACCTCAGCCTACGCCAATCTCTACAACCCCGAAAACATTTTTGTCGACAAAGAAGGCTCTGGCGCAGGCAACATCTGGGCCAAGGGTTTTGCTGCTGTGCGTGTATTACCTGCAGTACAAGATCCGTCTATGACATATTGCCAGCACCTCATATGAAAACGCACCATTCTGAATGGCTTTTTGTTAGGGCGAGCGCGTTCACGAGGAACTCTTTGACATGATTGACCGAGAGGCTGACAATAGCGACAGTTTAGAAGGCAAGCAAACTAAACCCGAACCCTTGTTTCTGCCCAGCCGCTTTGAATCATTGCAACGCCTCTTCCCTCTTCTCTCATCGATAAATGTTGATGATTTGGTTTTTGCAGGATTTATGCTTACCCACTCTGTTGCTGGTGGTACGGGCTCTGGACTCGGCTCCTACGTCCTTGAGCGTCTCAACGACCGGTGCGAAATCATTCCTTGGGTTGTTTCCTGGCCCCCGCTTCCCCCTCCTCGCTTCTGTTTGCTCACTGGCCCTGGACCTCGAATACATTAGTTTTCCAAAGAAGCTGGTGCAAACGTACTCAGTCTTCCCCCACGCAGTGCGTTTAATGAAGATGGTCACCCGGCTTTTTTTGACCCGTGGCGTTTGATTAAGACTTGCTTCGCGCGATTAGGGCGAAACGTCGGAGGTGGTGGTCCAACCTTACAACAGCTTGCTCACCCTGAAGCGCCTAACGCTCAACGCTGATGCTGTGGTATGAACGAGCAAAAATCATGCTTGCCTCAGTGTCTGTATGCTGGCTTTGCCCCGCCATCCTGTGCTTCACACATTGCTCTCGCGGTGCTGAAACCGGCTTCAGGTGGTGCTGGATAACACGGCTCTCAATCGCATTGCAGCTGATCGCCTGCACATGGACAAGCCTGACCTATCTGTGGTGAACCAGTTGGTATGCCTAATCGTTCCATGCCTTTGTCCAGCAGACCCATCCACGCTTGCCCTTTGCTGTCTGACTTTCTCTCGCTCATACACTCACTTTATTTTTGGATAAAAAAAAAAAAAAAAAGGTCTCCACCATCATGTCTGCATCCACAACAACCCTGCGCTACCCAGGCTACATGAACAATGACCTGATTGGGCTGATTGCCAGTCTTATCCCCACCCCGAAGCTTCATTTCCTCATGACTGGTTCGTTGGAGGTGACCGTCCTGTCTCGTGTTCGCGTTTAACGTGATGCTTAACCCTTCGATTGAACCTTGACACAAACCATAGGTTACACACCCGTCATTGCTGGGGATTATGGCACCACGTCGACGGTGCGCAAAACCACCGTGCTGGACGTCATGCGCCGTTTGCTGCAACCCAAGAACATGATGGTGTCCACGGCGCGGTCGCGTTCGGAAGCACATTGTTACATCTCCCTCCTCAACATCATTCAAGGCGATGTGGATCCCACGCAGGTGTGCCCACGTGCTGCTCACGCTGGTTCTGTCACGAGATAAGTAAAACAGCGAATTGACTCGTGCCACCCGTGCCTGACATGCACCACAGGTTCACAAGTCATTGCAGCGCGTACGCGAGCGCAAGCTGGCTTCCTTCATCCCCTGGGGTCCTGCCAGCATCCAAGTCGCTCTCTCCCGCAAGTCACCGTACATCCCCACTGCTCATCGCGTGAGTGGTCTCCTCTTGGCCAACCACACCAGCATTGCACAGCTCTTTTCACGAGCTTGCAAAGATTTCGACAAGCTTCGCCGTCGTGAGGTTTGTGCCTTGTCTGTCATCTTCAGCGAGACCTTCTCAGAAGAGTGAAATTCCGCCCACGCCCTGCCATGGCTGTCAGCCTTTCTTAATCTTGTACCGATACCTTTCTTGTCTTTGTTGACAGGCCTTTGCGGATCAGTTCCGCAAGGAGCGCATGTTCCGGGACAACCTCGATGAGTTTGACGACTCACGAGAGGTAGTTCAGTCGCTTGTGGATGAGTATCAAGCCGCTGAGCGCCCAGAGTACGTGGACTGGGGCCGACAGCAAGCCATGGGCGGCCAGTGATAACGTTGGGTCAAAGTTGTGCGCATTTAGACGCCCCAAAGGGGTTTCCAAGCACGCTTGCGTTTTTGTTTTTTATCTCCGTGTTTGTGTCTGTGTGTTACCTCCTGGCACCTCTGCCATGAGCTCTTTTGTGAACTGTGTTTTATGTACAATTGATTATTTGGAAGATTGTTATGCTGTTTTTTTTTTTTTTTTTGTGCCAGATGCCCAAAAGCACTTGCGTTGCGTCGAGGTCTAGTGTTTGGGGTGCGAGATCAAAGGCTAATCGTGTTGACTACTCTGGCTGTCAATTTTTTTTTTCTTTTTTTTTGCAAGAAGCGAAAGGGTCAGAACAACAAGACTGCAACGCAATCGTCACACTTAGACAAAAGGAATGTAGAGGTGGGGGATAACAAAGTGCAGACTGCCAACTGCAATGCCACCAATCACCAGGCAGGCTAGCAATACAATCGCTAGCACCCAAAACAACGTTTTGGCTGCACTCAACAGTCGGCCGGCATTTTGTGTGACGACCGCTGGTGTCGCAGCAGCAGCAGCAGCGGTGGTGGTGGCCGGACCCGCAGATGCGTCTTGAGACCCCTGCTTGCCTTTACCAGTCCCCTCGCCTGCAGCACCAGGCTTCGTGCCCACATTTGAAGAGCGAGAGCTGGAACGGCGCATTGGCCCAGCCGCTGCCCGGCGTAGCAATTCAGCACCGCCATCATCCTCCAACTCCTCAGGTTCACTCATCTGCTCCGACTCGGAGTTGTAATCATGGATTGACCTTGTTTTGCGGAAGTGATGAACGGCATGACAAGTGAGAGAGGCTGGCGCCGCAAACACAAGAATCCAGGCTCGTGCAATAGACTTACCGATATTGCCCACGCTTTTCGATAACAGCACGCGTGCCTTTACTCGCCATGGCTGCAGCAAACACCATGGAACTTTCAAGGAAAAGTTTGTGGTCAAAGACAGGAAGCGTGAGCACAAGGTTTTAGTGCACAATGGGACCAAAGCAATGCACAGCGGCTGAGCCTAAAGGTCTTACCGAAAACGAGAGAGACGGGGCGAAGATTCAGAGTTATCAACGGTGTCATTACCTTCACCAGTCAGGGCTTTCTGTAGGTTACGCTCCTTGCTTTTAGTCAGCGCCCGCTCCCACCAAGTTGGGCGATTGGCTCGCAGTGGCTCGGGCGACAGCGGCAGGTCGGTCGATTTTGATGCGTCGGTTTGCACACTGTTGACAGTGGTGGCCGAGTCTTGGCGTCGAAGTTGAATTTTGCTGAGGCGCTGAAGCTCAGTGAGGCGGTCGCCTGCATCCGATTCCGAGCCTGATTCCTCCGATTCCTCGTGATGATGCTCCATCACAGAAGATGCTTCAGAAAAGTTCATACCAGAGGACCTGAGCTGGCGAAGCCGCGACAAGCCGATTGCGTGACTGCTCTCCGACTCTGTCTCCGACTCCTCACCTGCCAGTCCGAAAGAAGAGCCTGTCGCTGAGTTGTTGGTCTTTGTCGGGCCAAGGATACGGCTGCGGCCCTTGCCCGATCGAGATTGCAATGCCAAGAGGGCTTCGCGATTGGCCTCTTCTTCGTCCGTGTCCTCGTCGTCCTCAAAGTCGACATCATCGCGCTTTGTATGGACGGGAGTGGCACCACCGGCACCGGTACTAAAGCTGCCTCGAGTAGGCGTCCCCGTTGGAGTGCCAGTTGGAGTAATGCCGTCCTCGTCATCATCATCAGGCTGACCGGCTCTGAGCAGGTTACCCGGCTCCGTGTCCGGCCCGGTGCCTGACTCTGCCAAGCTGTGTTGGCGCCGAGCCACAGAAGGACTTGGGCGGCTACGCCCGTGCACAGACACGTTGTTGACCAATGGGCTGCTCGTCGTCTCTGTGGCCCCAGCTGGGCTTGGTGCGATGGCAATATCCATGCTCTGCAATATGGATTGCATCGTCGGGCAGTCAGTAGCAACGTGTTTGAGGCGACAGATTTGTCGATGCAGCCGATCCTGTTCGCCGGGTTGTGTGAGCAGCGCCTGCAGGCGCGGACAGTCCCCTGGACGCCGGGGGCACTTGCAAACCATGTCGTGCAAGTGTGCAACACCATGCAAGGAAAGAACGCTCTCAAGAGAGCTCCGACGTGAGGCAAGCGAAGCCTCATCCACCAGCAAGCTGGGGCGGCCACTGCTTGACCGAACTGAGAGGGTATCAATAGCGTCGCTGTTCGTGCGAGACAAACTCGTCACGCTTGCGTCATCTACACCCAGGGCGCTACGCGTTACACTGTTGGCACCGTCCAGGCCAAGCACGTCCAGAGAAGCCGGCTGGTGAAACTGAGCGAGCAACTCGAGCGTGCGTGTGTGCATTTTATCGTCCTCGGACTCCTCAGTCTCACTCTCAAAGTAGGCATCGGGATCGTTTAGATCAACAAAGGACGAGCGCTGCCGTTTCTCCATATCGTCCTCGGTGTCCTCATCGTCCCGGACGTAGCTAGCCGCACCCTCTGAATCAGTGGAGGCGTTGTCTTGACTAATTTTGCGATCCACAAGCAGCGAACCGCTGAAGCGATGGTTGGAGCCCAGGCGACTGCGCCCAGCTGATCCCAGGGAGCCATGGGACTCGCGAGCTGCCCGAATGTCTATGGAGCCACTGCGCGAGCTTTCGCCAGCGTTGGTCTCATCCTCATCCATGCCAGTGGGACGAACATCATCCGAATCCGCCCGCGATCGCGCGACATCAGAAGCCCAACCATTGATATTGGACGGCTTGTCAGATGCCTGATCCGAGATCATGTCCACCTGAGATTCGAGCTGTGCCAACTTTTCGATGGTCAAGGAAGCCCCCTGACTTTGATTGGGCATGGAAGCGGTGCCGTGTGAGACGGTGTCCTGAACGGCCGCATCCATGTCTGGACCGGTTGTCGACGTTTGATGGGCCGGTGCACCTGGTAGCACCTCGGTCGGGCGACCAGAGCCCGGAGAGTGACGCCGAAACCCCCGCACCTGCTGAAGAACAGAATCATCGTTCTGGTCCATGCTGCGATCATCACCGCTTGACTGAGCCTTGAGGGGCTCGTTAGACGAGTCATCCTTGCCCTCGGTTTTGGAACCTGTTGCGGTCACTGATAGACTTGCATGCTCAGCTGCACGCTCGAGGCGCATCTGCATTAGCTCGCGCTCCATGTGTCGGTTGCGTGCTTCGACCTCCTGCAAACGCTGTCGCAATGCAGCTTCGCCAGTGGCACTTGCAGCACCGTTCGCCCCAGTCGAAAAGTGCGGTGACCCAGCGCTAACCCCGACCGGTGTTTGAAATGGACTGGACCCATCCGCCGTATTTCGCGTCACGTTGGGCGAGGCCACCGCGCTTGCACCGCTTTGACTCAGCTCGGCGCGACGCTGACGAATACCATACTCGGTGCGCAGTGATTTCTCAATCGAATCATTGAGCACCTTCTCCATGCGCATGAGCGCAGGCGACATAAACGGCCGGGGTCGTGAAGAGGTTACACTGCGCAAGGGCGTGCTATGCGTTGGAGACATTGCACGCGCCGCGACGGCAGCAGGGTCGGACGCGCCCTGTTTGGAGGGGTGGGGTGAAGAAGTGGCGCGGTCTTCTGTGTCTGGTAAAGTGATCGATGATGCCGGCTGGTTAGCAGTGGCGTTTCCCGTCTCGAGCGCGGCCAGTCGTCGTCGCAGGCGGTCATTTTCCTGGCGCAGGCGATCTGCATACTGCGAGGAAGACACAGACCGGACTTGCTCGAGCTGAGATTCAAGGCTTAGGATTGTTTGCTGAGCTGCCTCAAGTTCTGGGCGCAAGGGATTGTCCACCTTCTGGGTCAGATTTTTGGCAGCCTCGAGTTCTTTCCTCAACTCCTCGTTCTCCATGCGCAACTTGGAGATGTGCGAAGCCTGTGCGTCCAGTTCACGTTGATAGCGAGCCGGCGGGGGGGCTGAGAACGTCTTGCCTTCAGAGTCAAGAGCGCCAAGCTTGTCCTCCAAAACAGTAATGTGCTCCTTGCAGAGGCGAAGGTCTTCGTCCTTCTCAACAACCGAGGCTTCGACTTGCTTCAGATGCTTGAGATGGCTATCCAAGTTGTTGGTGAGCTCTTGGTGGCTGCGTGTAAGATTGGCAATTTGCACGGCCTTGTCAACTGCCTGATTGGTCAAGACTTCGGCTCGACTGAGCGCGTCGTCTCGCTGCTGAACCAAGTCATCGACCAGAAACTGCAACCCATCGAGTGTCTCAGCGCCGTCGGAGCTGGATGGGGAGTAAGGCAAGCGACTCGCTTCTGACAGTTGCCGTAGAATGGCTTGCAGGGGACCTTTGACTCTGCCGTGGGGACGGAAGTGGTGTCAGACCTCGAGGCTAGCGGTAAATAAGAGGACGAGAAGGAGTGGTGGAGGAAGGGGAATACGAGCGGAAATGTCTTACTCTTGATCTCGCAAACGGGCTGCATGACTTGGGGGCGTGGCACGGCTAGGAATCTGAGCGTTGTTCCTTTGAGGCGACTTATCAGGCGATGTGGGCACACTGTTGCCTGGTGACGAATGGGTGTGTCGCGGCGAGGAGTGGTGGTGTATTGGTGTCTTGGTCTCGGAATGTTTGGGAGAAGACCGGGGCGGAGAGCCACCAGCGGAGCGGGCAGTATCCTCGTCGCCGATGGTGCTTCCACAAGCTTTGCCGTCCACCAAAACCGAATCCTCGCCGCCGGCGCCAGTAAGCACAATGCTGGGCACCGCCTTGACATTGCCGTAATAGTCTTGTGAGGTCGAGCAGCTAAGGTCCCCCAGTGAGGCACGGCGATCCTCTACGTTTCAGAGTTGGGCAAAAGGCGCTCAGCTTCGCCACGACACAAATGCACAAGAGTAGAAGCAATCGAGGCTGCATTGTTGTTGGTAGGGATGAATGCTGCGAAAAGGGGTTGAGAATCAGCAGAGCTCAATCTACCTGTTTCTTCAACGGTCATCAGTGAGGCTCTGGGAATGGCCACGTCAGACTTGGCTCGAGTACGCCCTTGTGGCTCACGAAGGCCCTGTGAACCATCGCTCTGTGATTCGCGATACAATTCCAGCACCAAAGGGTACGCAAGTGAAACAACCAATCAAAAGTCGAAAATTGAACAAGTGCAGCCAGAGCGGAGACTGGGGCGACGCACGATCAAGGAGGCAGCATCAAGTGCACTGAGGCGCCAAGGTCGAACAAAAAGACCCCGATCTGGGGCGCACCGGAAGTAGCGACGTCCCTTCGAGTAGTATGTTGAGAAGTGAGACAAGCCGAAGGAGCGGAAAGTGCACGGAAACGATATCATTGGGGGTAGATTTGAGATGAAACTTTGGGGTACGTTAGTTTCAGAAAAGTTTGACTGACTTCGAATTGGCCATCAGTATTGCCTTTGGCATCAAGGAGCTCGACGCCGTACATGGTACCCTGCGAAGTGTGAGGTGGTGGAGGGGAGGGGGAGGGGATGTTAAAAGGGAGCGCGATTGGGAGCAATGAATGGTGGCGTGACAAGCTCGGCGTGCGGGGCATGCGGGGCCTGGGGTAGCGTGTAGCTTACTTGGAAGCTGTCCACGGTGCCCACAAATCGAAGAATACAAGCAGAGTTCTTGTCCAAGAGGGCGCGGGTGCCAAGCTCGAGTGGGGTGGCCGGGGGGCTGGTGCGGGCATGCTGGAGGACATGTCGCCGCTCGGTGGCACTTGAGAGTACGTTGGAGCCAAGATCGACAGGGTTGGGCTCATCGGGGTCGTGCTGGCTGTGCTGGCCATGCTCGAGCTCGCGTTCGTGTTCGTGTTCGTGTTCGCGTTCCGGGATACCGTCGGACAAGTTTTCATCGGACATGGAGCTGGCGAAACGTTGGATGGAGGGCGACATTTGACCAAGACCCACGGATGACTCCTCAAAGCTTTCGTCCCTGAGGCGAAGGGCTTCCCTGGAGATGGGGGTGCGCGAGCGGGGTGGTGATTTATCCCGGCTTGGTGAGCTGGCGTTGGAGTTTGCCTGGGGCTCTGAACCCTTGTGGCTCTGTGCTTGGTCGGCTTGAGGGTCCATGGCCGAGGCTAATGGGAGGCAGACGTATCGATACGAGGGAAAAGAGAAAAGAGGGGAAGCTGATATGAGACGAAGAGAACGACAAACATGATGGATGGCAGGAGGCGGGGATGACCATCGGCTCAGAAGAGGAGCGCATGAGGACAAGAACGGGTCGGGTATCATTGGGCAAAGACAAATACCGTAGGCGTTGGTAACTTGAGTGACGTCTTCAAGAGCCACGTCGATGCAGCGAGATTGGGTCTCGTCTGAAATGGGACACGGAGCAAAAAAAAAGCGCAAGGCTATCAGGGCACAGGTCCGTCCCAGCAAGCCGGGGCGGTCAACCGTGTCGAGGCAAGATGACTCAAACGATAATACCGAGAGGGTGCTTGGTGTCGGTTTTGAGCGCGTTGAGTTGCTGCTTCAGGGTATCAGCTTCTTGTGTGAGCTGGGCGGGTGAGCCGATTTGGACAAGGATGCAAGGACAGGTGTAGGTGGGCGTGAGCCTGTGAGGAGAAGGGAAGGAGGGCTGCGGGAGAGGGGAGCAAAGGGAGTAAGAGGCAGGTGCAAGGCGCATACTCGTTGTACAGGACTGCGGGCTGTCATGAGCATGCTAAGCTTCTGCCACGTAAGATCGAATTCCGTCCTTTTGGGCTATAGAAAGAAGGCCATTATGAGTGCAACCCTGGTGCTGAGAGGAGCATGGGTGCTTGAACCCACCTTTTTCTGCTGGGCCAGGGCAGTCTTGAGGGCCTTGAGAGCGGCCTCGGCCTTGGCCAGCTGCGTCGTTAGCATAAAAGCGTGAGACAGACTTGCATCTGGGGTTGGGGAGAATCAAAAGGCGCAGACATGTGGCAAAGGCAGAGTTGTGGGGTTGGAGTGAACCTGATGGACAAACGAGGGTGCAAGCCCGGTCGATTCGGGGCCCGTGGTGTGACCGTTGCTGGAAATCATGACCGAGGGATGGCTCGAGGCCCCATCGGGCTGCCCTCGGTGGGCAGGATCCGACGACGTCGTGTCAGTTTGGGAACAGGATGACGGCGGGGTGAGAGGCGATGTCGAGATCAAATGAAAATGCCTAAAAAGCACGCCAGGTCACCAGATGAGGCGGTCAAGATCGAATCCCAGAAACGAACGGGACCATGGCCACTGATCAACGAAGTAATGAGGCCCGACCCACAGGAAAAGAGAGAGAGAGAGAGAGAGAGAGAGAGAGAGAGAGAGAGAGAGAGAGAGAGAGAGAGAGAGAGAGAGAGAGAGAGAGAGAGGGAGAGAGAGGGAGAGAGAGA